AGAGAGAGAGAGAGAGAGATCCATGACCATCTCCCGGGTGTTTAAAAAACTAACTTAGGACAATAGCAGCGAATGAGCGCTTAATTAAATTAATTAGTCCTTCTTGTCAATCTCGGATTAATGGCCAATAGCGACGGTGCTGCTTAATGTTTTTTTTTTCCACTGCTCTTCTCTCTCTCTCTTTCTTTCTCTCTCTCTCCCATATCAGTGAAGGGGAAGGGGGGCTCATCCCGGCATCCTGAGGGGAGGTAATTTGCACGGATCAAGGGGGCAAGGCGCCGCAAAGTATAAATACTGTGACTTCAATAGAGGATCACCAGCAGGTTCCCAACTCCGCTACCAAAGGAGGAGGAATTGGCTGAGAAGATATATTCTTTCTATATTTTTTACCTTCTTCCAGAGTTGGCAGCATCATCTCGTCTCATTTTCAAGGGGTCGACTTTAAAACGAGCCACACCATTGATGTCTTAAGCTGTCGTGGAGCAAAAGGGGAGAGAGAGTGTGTGTGTGTGAGTGAGTGCGTGGTGGTGGTGGTGGTGTGTGATTTTTTTTAAAGAGGAGAGAAGGCAGGGATGGAAGAGCTCACCGCTTTCGTGTCTAAGTCTTTCGATCAGAAAGTGAAGGAGAAGAAGGAAGTGATAACCTACAGAGAGGTGTTGGAGACCGGGTCGACGCGAGCAGGGAGCAGGGAGTCTTTATCCGCGGAGCCGGGGAGCCGAGAGGAGGCGGCAGCCGTCACCCGGAACGTTGCGCTCTCGCCGGGCAGGGAAACGGACATGCTCGGCCCGGAGAGAATCAGGGACGCCGGGAGCCCCAAACTCATTGACGGTAGGACTGCATGCTGTAAGCCTACACGGTCTCTTTAGGGGATGTCTGGAGGACTTATAGGAGTGCACACACTGACCACGGGCACGCTTTTATTTGCGAAACAGTTTAAAAAAAACAAACATCTTAATTCTGGTTTATATGATTATAAGCAGATCATAGTGTCGTCCTTGATGTAAGTTACAGGATGATCGAGCTCTGTAAGAGGAGAAATCTAATGGTGCTTTTCTGAAAGTGTGTATTTTTGTTCGTGTTAGTTGTTTGCCTTATGCACACTCAAAATCGTCCTCTTTAAAATGTTTTTTTTTTCACCAGACATTACTGCTCATAGTATTTTCAATTTTAAGAAGGTGTTGGAGCCTAGTAATGTCTTATTGTGGTGCAGTTTAAAAGTTTCAAATAGTGCATCAGAAAAGGGCCCACCACAGTGAACTATGATAAACAACAAGGCCTCCTGTGGCAGCAAACTAATAACCATCCTTCTATAATATATGATTTAAGCCAAATGCGTTTTTATATCACAAGTTTATAGTAACAGGCCTAAAGGTGCATCGTGGTCCTCGGAGTGTCTTAAGTTTATTCTACTTCAGGCTGATTAGAAGCCTTATATCAGTGTAGCCATTTCTATTCATTAGGCGTCACTGATTGTCAGTCCTCTCAGGAATCTGTCTTTCATATATAATGTCAATGTCTCAACGAAAAGGAGGCTCATCAAACACCTGACACACAGATCACTGCACATGAAAGGTGATCGAGCCCTGTCATTTCTGTAGTCGCTCGCTACACATAGATGTCTGTTTCCAGGTGTGAAAGCACATCAGGTGCAATAGCAGATGGCTTGAATGTAAGCCTGATGATCTCATATTACAAATATGAAATAGACAGTAGGTGGAAGAATTGTTTTTCGTTGCTGCCCTCAATAATTCAGTGTTTATTTATATATAATTGCACAACGAAAATAACAGCAAATAGAAAAATAATATAGAGAGTCAAGATAAAATTATACTTTAAACGGGGAAGCTTTCATTAAATAACATTAACTGCTATGGTGTTTAATGCTTTCAAACAGGCTGATTAAAATTGCGTTAGAATTATTTATTTACATTTTCAGAATAGTAAAGCAGCTGCTCAGCTGTCCTGTGCAGTCTGCTCACTGTGTATTATAAAACCTGGACACAATGTGACAACACACAGGACCAGATATCTTAAGAGTTGGGTGGCTTGTTAAAATGACATCTGTTCGTCATGGGCAGCGTGGTTAAAAGCAGAACTGCGACAAGCATGTATCAGACATCCAACAGTGGGCACAGTGTTGCATATTTATAAGCAGTTAATAATTAAAGAGCTTTATGTAGCTCTACAAAACATCCGAGGTCTGATAGCTCTGTGCTCTTTGAGGGCTGGGAGGGCATGTCTTTCTCTCTTTCTTTCTTATCATCTAGGTTTTATTTCAATTTGGTCTGGGTCGATAATAATTTCTCGCTTCTTTTGTGAAGATCATGAGTATTTAGTAGCTGTAGTCACGGGTGTATTTCAGTTCTTCTGCCCTTTAATGTGGAGTTTGCACACCCATTTGTTTGGCTCATTTGTACTGTGTGATTAAGCCCACGCATTAAGCTGTCAGTTATACGATTTATATGAGAATAAAACTATTTTTAGGGGTAAAAACACATTCAAACATTTAATAAATATATGTCGGTGAAGGCCAGTGATGGCCATATAGACTGAGTGTCACAGTACAGCTCCATGATGTCTGATGTCTCATCTCGCTGCCACACAGGCAACACGGACGTCAAAGAAAGGAAAGAGGACTCGAAGCCTATAGAGGACGAGGCACAGACTAAAATCAAACAGAGGAGAAGTCGGACTAACTTCACATTAGAGCAGCTCAACGAGCTGGAGCGGCTCTTCGACGAGACCCACTACCCGGACGCCTTCATGCGGGAGGAGCTCAGCCAGCGACTGGGACTGTCGGAGGCCCGAGTGCAGGTAGGGACAGTCGGTTCAATGGTATGAAAAAATATTTAAAAAACAATGTAATTTTAATATATTATTAATAATAATAATAATAATAATAATAATGAGGTAGAGGGCCCTTTTTAAATCTAAAAGTACGTGATCAAAAATCTGAAAAATATAGAAACATATTTGTTATCGTTATTATAACTATGGCAGTGTGAGTTTATGAGTATATGTGTAAAAAACAATGGATGGCAGTAACCCACATGCTTAAATTGAAATAAAAATAATAAAAATACAAGTAATAATAATAATAATAATAATAATAATAATAATAATAATAACAACAACAATAATAATAGAAGAAGAAGAAATAATAATAAGAAGCACAGACTCTCACGTCCTTGTCCTTTTTTCTGGAGGGATTTTAATAATCTATTCACAGATTTGTGTTATGATAAGCTATCACGCATAAATATAGACTGAGGGTGATAACATTTTGTTTTTAAGGAGGGTTTTCATGTTGAAGATGAATGTGCTCACACGTACACTTGCCAGACTACAGTAGGCCTGAATTTGTGAAATGGTTCAGGGGAGCCCCAGAGGAGTGTTTGTAAGTTTTAATAAGTTGCTAAGAATTTTTTTTAAAAGGAAGAGAGAACGGAGCTCGCCATCAATATGTTATTTATTTTTTCCCCCATCATTTTCTGATTAGAGTATTTTTCTCCCCCTTTTGATGAATTCATTTGTGTCCATTATCTCAATTAGGCCCTGCTTGTATCACGAGAGTCGATGTAATCTTTATTGTCCAAAATCCACCGAAACAAATACGCCTACAAATATTTGCCTTCAGTTTCTGGGTGTATGTTACCAAGGCCCTGTTTGTCAGAGAGGCTGTCGTTTTTCATGGGGACAGACCATCTGCGCAGAAACCCAGTAAGGCTTCAGCCAGTCAGGAGGGTGGGAGGGGGGTGGCACAGACATGTCTTGTGTAACGGGAGCTGGGGGGACAATGAACATATAGACAACTCCTCTCATCTGATTTATCAAAACCCTAGAATATCTTCTCCCAGGCTCTTTTTATCCCGTGGGCCCCGGCCCAGGGGAGGGCTGAGCATTTGTCTCCATACTGAATATGGCGGTCGTTATGGGAAAAAAATAAATCATAAAACGGGCCCAAAAAGATCCCCATCCCAAAACTCGCCCTCCAACCCCCCTGAAAAAAAGTTAAAGCCAGCTTTTTGCAGGGCTCTCCCGGCCTGAACTGGAATCTCACCAATAAGGCGTATTGTGTCCCGAACAAGGAGCACAGCTCGGGGATTTGCATAAATTATGTATTATTTTCTACCCAAATCAAGAGCGGCTCGCTCTCTCTTTCCCTCTGTCTGAGCATCATATCTTTTTACCAGTTGCATGCAAAGACCACACATTTATTTGGATTTTATTTATTTGTTTTTTTCTACCTCAGTCAATAACAGCAGACCATTTGCTTTTTATCATCGCAATAAATTATACGTGAAGCGTGCACAAAAGGACTTCCGATTGACATATACTGTGGTCAATAAATGAAGCCAGCTGACAGACAAATCAATAAGATATTTCAATCATGCTTCCACTCTCTCTCTGTGTGTGTGTGTGTGTGTAGCTATATGGACCTATAATGTAAGGGAGATTGTAGATTGACATGTTGCATTGTGGGCTAATTTAGCCCGAGCTTTGTCTGGGAGACTCAAAGCAGATTAATCGTTTAATCTGTGTTTCAAGGCGTTTCTCTGAAATTGACGCTTGTCGATTTCAACAGAAGGAAAAGAGAAGTGAGCTGTCTTTGAAGGGCGATTTGTGTGTGTGTGTGTGTGTGAGAGAGAGAGAGCAAGTGCGTGTTATGGCGGTGATTAGACAAAATTGCGAGGCATTTAAGCGTTTCTCTGACATGGATATTTCTGCAGATAAGGGTAATTAATTTCAGCGGTCATTTAATGAGAGGGAGATGGAGAGAGAAAGAGGGAGACGTTCTCAGATCGCCTTGCTCTGATGTCCAAAACCGTAATAGCATTGCTGCTATTCGATATCTGAGAGTCCCATTCAACTCTTCGGGGACACTAATCTATAGAAAGATGAAACCGACGCTGACAAGGTTATTTATTATAGTCCAATAGTCCTGCACATTTCCAACAAGGGTGTTTCTATTCTCCTAATAAGATTTTAATGCCCCCTCCTCCTCCTCCTTTTCGCGGATTTACTACTTTCCATCTTTGCTCCACTATTTTCTCCTCTTTCTCTTCCAACAACCCCCCCCCAACTCTGCCTCGTTGTAGGCTAAATGTAATAATTCAAATCTGGGGGGTTAAGCAGTGTCATTAATATTTCAGTGCTCCTCGGGGATATTGTTTTTCTGCGGTTGTTGTCACTTTGAGAGGAATTACACATGGCCTCACAAGCAGCTGCCAATCAGTAGGTCTCTAATTAATTTCTGTCCCTGCAGGTTTGGTTCCAGAATAGAAGAGCCAAATGCAGAAAGCAGGAGAACCAGTTACATAAAGGTACGCTTTCACCCTGCATGCTCCCACAAACACAAACCGATAGGGCTTATTCCATATTCTATGTTGTTCTACACCCTCAAACGCAAACAGCACCCTTCTACTGCTCCTATTTGTGTCCTGGTATCATTTTCAGTTAATTAAGCCATCAAAAGCACTGTGATTTCTTTAGTGACTGTTTATCTTGGACACTATTAAAGTTTACACCGACAATCAGCTTACTGCTCGTTATTCAGCCATGCAGTTTACTTTTATTGTGGTTTTGAATTTTCTCCTAACAATTATGCCATCATCTGTGCTCTTGCAGGAGTCCTGATTGGAGCAGCGAATCAGTTTGAAGCTTGTCGTGTAGCGCCATATGTCAACGTGGGGGCTTTGCGGATGCCATTCCAACAGGCAAGTTACTTTGAAGCGTCTAGTCTTAAAAACCAGACCAATCCCCCGGACTGCTGTCTTGGCACAAGCTCTGCCCAAGTGCTATGCAGAGACTCCAGTTCCAATGTAGGGGGGGTAACTAAACTCTTATTACCACACTGACAAAAACACTGTGCCAGCACAGCGTGGCCTGTACAACCTAATTGGAGAATTCCCTCTATTGTTTTATGGATGATTTTTATGCCTATTTTACTGGAGCTAGTAAACATATTATCAGGCCTGGTGCTGCAGGGTGAAGGATAGGACAGGAGTTTCTTATTTTCTGTGGTAGGAATGGTTTGGTTTTGATTTATTGAACTGGGCACCTGTATGTGGGGGACATGGTGGTGAGAGTCTGGACAGAACAGTCAAATGATGTGCACAATTTACACTGCATTTATTTTTTAGTGAAAGTCCAGTCCTCACTTTGAGCACCACTGGTTGAGATTACATTCCATGCTATTGATTACCAAATAATAATTCAGATTTGGTTCACAAGAGCTGCAGTAGTTAACCCCAGAACCACATGGCATCAGTGACATGCTCAACGACACTTGGTTGAACCCTGAAGTCGAGGTTGGCCTGTTTAACCACCAGGTCAACCTGCCTCCTCACACGAGTACACAGTTAATAGTTGAACCGCATCTAACAGTCAGCACCAGTGAAATGACCCTTCACAAAACCCACTGCAAAGTTAACGCATGTTCTCCCCCCTTCTCTCCCCACCCGTGCGTCCCGTCCCGTAGGATAGTCATTGCAACGTACCGCCCTTCTCCTTTCAGGTGCAGGCGCAACTGCAGCTGGATAGCGCCGTGGCCCACGCGCAGCACCACCTGCACTCTCACCTGGCAGCGCACGCGCCCTACATGATGTTCCCCGCGCCGCCGTTCGGGCTGCCGCTGGCGACGCTCGCTGCCGAGTCCGCCTCCGCCGCCTCGGTTGTCGCCGCCGCCGCCGCCGCCAAGAACACCAGCAAGAACTCCAGCATCGCCGACCTGAGACTGAAGGCCAAAAAGCACGCGGCCGCGCTGGGACTGTGACGCCAGGTAGACGAGAGGGCACGAGGCGTGCACGCTCTGTCTGCCGTGCTCTCGCGACTGAGAGACACTGAACACAAACGCTTACAAAGTGAAAAAACCCAAGGACTAAAGTGAGAAAAAATTATCCACGGACGATATTTATGTTTTGGTTTTTGTTTTTTAAATGAAGGACGACGAGTATAACTATAAAAAATATAGGCTATTTATGAGATAAAGAAAAGACAATGAAAAAAAAGAGACTGTGACGTGATAGCCTACACAGATGTGATTTTTTGGACGCCAAAAAAACAAAACAAAAAAAACAGAGTGGCGGATGGGATGAGTCCTTCTCTGCAGCCACATGGCCGAGGAGGGCGACTGGACGCCCCGAGGAGGATGCAGCTGGGACGGTCGATACTTTGTCAAACAAGGCGAACCATTCTGCAGTTGTTTTGTTCTGTTTTAATATTATATTATTATTGTTATGATTTCATTTTGAACCTATATAGAGGCTGGCCTCGTTATAAAAACACGTTCTCTGTTAAAAAAGGACAGAGCGGGAATTCTTTGACAAAACGGAGAAGAAGAAAAAAAAAAAAAGGGACAATATTCGAAGTGCTTCTCCTTCTTCTGTTTCTTGTCCAAAATTCAAAATGCCCAAGCAGTGTTTGCATGAGTTTGTCTTCACGGATGACGTGATGTGAGCCATCTCCCCCCCTCTTTCTCTCTCTCTCTTCCGCCCCCCCTCTCTTCCTCTTTGCCCCCTTTCCTCTGAGGAAGGGCAACTCTCACTTGAATGTTTGGCCTGTTTGACCTTGTTTGGACCTCCTCTTGGAAAAGGTGAAACTAGGCGACACACCAGAAATGTGAGATTATAATATATGTGTAGGCTATGCTGAGGATAACCCGATCTAGTGTCCATGTAAGGTGGTGATTCGTCCCCTTTTAAAGGAGAGCATTATGTCATAAATGCCATCTTCAACACAGAGAACAAACGAGCAAATGACAGTAAGACAAGGACTGTATGCGAACCGGTACGGGCACGTGTAAAATATGTTTATACACAAGAAACATGCATTATTTTTTATTATTTAGTGGCTTTATGAATGCCTTGTGGGGAATTTGTTTATTTTGTATTTTACTTTATTTCCGTGTATTAAAAAAATCATGTGCTTTCTGTATGTAATTTTGATGTTTTTATAACAGTGAAAGTGAACTTACCTGAGGCACGGATTTCTAAAAAAAAAAAAAAAAAACACCCAAAAAAAATTCATGAAATTGTTTTACTTTTTCCATCTCATGTGAAACGTGAATCCACCTAAACAAAATGTTTTTCGTTCCTACAATAAATTAACTAAAGTTTCTTTAATGAGTTGACATTATTTTTATTTTTTTATTCTTAATTGGCATTATTATTATTATTAATGTTGTTGTTGCTACCGGTGAAACTTTGAGGGCAATAGATTTTTAATAATTCATGCCTGTAGCTATAGGTCTTTTGATAACGTCACAGTTGTGACAGGCCCGTTTAGTCAGGAACATGGGTGTCTGTAGCTGCTCCCATGCCAAACCGATGCATTATTCATAATTTGGTTACGGAGCGTTTGGAGAGGAGGACTGGTAATTTCCAGTACGAGCTAGAGAAACTGCCAGATAAAGGATAGAGAGACAGGGGCCGTTCAGTGGCTCAAAGATAAAGTTTTGCAGCACTGAAGCACTTGAAATGCACACAATTATTATTATTTTTTTCCCCTAACAGGCAACTTATTTAGATTTAAAACCACTGAGTTATTGTTGCAATAATTAAATGAGCTAACCCCAGCGGCCTAATGATTATAATAAACAAAGATGCATATTTAATTTAATTATAGCCACAGTTTATTTGTGGTGTCAGTTTACACATAGCAGCCTAAATGTCTGGATTATATTCGGCCTAAATCAATAATGTTTGTTTTTTTCCTATCAGCAACATTTAAGATATTGTCAGTAATAAACATTTTTACATAAAGTAATATAGGTTAATGGTATTCGATGTGATTCCAGTTGTGGATCCCCATGTTCCGTCTTGAATCTGGCATCCTGCCCATCTCCACTGAATGAAAATGTTGCCGGTTTATGTGTCATGACCTTAAGTTTGGCATTATGCATGAAAATATACAGGCAGCACACAAAGTAAAACAAAGCCAATGTCTTTGTAAAAAATAATTTATTAACGCGTGCCTCACTTGACTTACAAATCTGCCTGATTCATTTCCTGACATCTTAACCGCCTCTTATTGAACATTTAATAAACACCTGACACGGGAGCCTATAATTATAGGAATCCAGATCGCATTACCCTTCCGATATTTCCACACAAAACACAATGTCTTTAGCTATTAATTAATACTGATCTCACAGAGTCTGCACTAGAGTCTGGAGTGTTTGTGTATCTCGCCGTTTGGGGCAGGATTTAGACGCCAAAACTATTGAATTATTGATTTTGAGCCTCGCCAGTAATGGAGGAGACGGAACTGGGAAACTGCTGAGCCGGGAGCGTGCACAGCGACCCTGCGATGGAACAGACACATCGGGGTCGGGGGCGCGCCTGTCCTGTCACCGTACCGCTTACTTGTAGTGACCACAGAGTGAGGTCAAGTTCATCAGAGTCGTTATGTCCCATTAATTACATCGGTCAGACATTATTTACTACATGTTCAGTCTTCCAATGGAAAAGTTGGGCCTAGGGCATCCAATTTTGTTTCAAGGCATATAAATAAATAAAAATCCTCATTTGGAATTTAAAACAATGGTGATTTAAAGGTTAAGAAATATAGATCCTAGTAATATGAGATTAAAAAATGCCATAAACTACAAGTGTCACTCCTTATTGAGTACACCACAAGGACATTGCTGTCCTTGTCCTGTCCTAGTTTAATGAAAACTGCAACAACCATTTTATGAAGGGATAATTAATTTCCAGTAATATTTCGCATCACCTTATCTCCCTAAATGGGGTCTGCATTCGGTACTGTCTCAATTTTTGCAGTTTTCACAGCAGATTATTTTTGAACAATTCCCTTCCAATACTCCACGACTACAATCCAAAGTCTTGATGTGAACTGTGAGGCTGCCGTTGTGGATCGGACCATCAGCTATATCAGCATGTCCTGAGGTGTAGTGGTGGAGTGGAGGGCCTCCGCCCTGAGGGGCCCAGGAGACAATGAGACGGGGACACACAAGTGTTCTCCTGATTAGACATGGAGACGACCAGCGCTCTCACTCTCCTCTCAACACACTCTTAAGACACACACCCCCACGCAGCCAGCCGGGAGCCAGCCATGCAGGCTCTCTCACTGGCTTTTTCTCACTGTCTTTCCCTCTTGCTCGTTCGCTCCGTGCTTTCCCCCCTGGTCTCTCCCTCCCTCCTCAACTCATGCACACACTCACTCTCTCTCTATTTTAAAAGATTATTGTACACCATGTTTGAGGAGTCAAGAGCGGGCCAGTTATATTCAAGTTCATCAAATGAATGAAAACAACACTGGACATAAATCCAAGTGCAAACACACACACACACCCACAGACCATCATAGCCTGGTGAGTCACAACAGCACTCCACACCATGGAATCCTTCATATCAACTGGTGCTGTCTTGTTGCTATATTTACCCCACTACAACCCCTGAGACAAATACACTACTCTCTCATTTCCCGCACTTGGCCCTTTATCAAATCAGGGCACGTTAAACAATCACACAGAGCAGTTTTTACTGACAGCGGAGGCATTTCCTTTTTTCTTTTTTTTGCATGTGAATGGCTGTGGCTAAATGTGATTCTATAGCCTATACTGTTTGTATCCATGCTCGTGTGTGTGGATTTATGTGAGAGAGCTTGCTCTTCTTTTCTCTCTAAGGACTTGCCTTTGTTACATGTTAGGAGTGCTCAAAGAGCAGGGCGCACACAGCACCGCACCAAAGACAACAGCCATCAGGAGCAACAGCAGATAAAAGACCAACTTCAAAGACATCAAATGGAGCGAAAGTGAAAAAGAAACCTGCTGAAAACTCCCTCCAATAGCACTCAGACCAGCAATTAGGACGCCATATCGCTGGCTGTTATCACGTGCGTGCACTGTATAGGCCTGGGTGGTTAACCGCAGCACTTGGTGTGGGTTGCAGTCAGCGGAGAATTACAGCATTCATACAGCTCGCACTGTATTTAATTTCACTGTAGGATGAAAAGTGGGTGTTCACACAGATTTGACCCCTGCTATGACCAGGGAGGCTTAACCGTGGTGATTACAGACACAGAAAAACAACAGTCTCTATCTCCAGCTCCTTCTATTCAGCAGCTAAGTAGAACAAAACAAAACAGAGGTCAGAACAAAACAAGAAGTCTAATTGTTTCACTGTTTCCTGTTTAGGTGCCCTGGGGCAATCTACACATTTTTATGTACTGGGTGCATTTTATTTGTTATTAATTCATTTCCAGTTGCAGCTGGTTTGCAGATTAGGGAGATAACATAATGTATAACTCCCTGCCCTGGGAGGGAGACATAACAAGGGTGTATGTGTTGAGACCTGTGGGCACTAGTAGCTCTGAGGGGATTTTATTGTTTCCATCGAAAAAAGGTGACATTTGGTGTATTGTGGAAGCACTGGGGGGCTGGGGGCTGGGGGCTGGGTGAGTTTGTGTGCATTTTTGTGTGTATGAGTTTATGTGCGCATTGTGGTCTGAGAGAAAAAAAGAACAAAATTAAATTCTAAGACACAGAGAGAGAGAGAGAAAGAGGGAGAGTGATGTGGGGCACACAGTAAATGTTAAACATTTGGCCCATGCCGCACTGTATTTACAAGCTGGTAAGATCCAATCATCTGTGTGTGAGTATAATCGAGTACTTGCTTTTCAATCATCAGATGTTTGTACACAGACTCTTAAATTACAAAAAGCCTCTTGGAAACACAGGCCTAACTCATCTCATATTGATTGTATTCACGCTGTCTGAAGTTTACAAAATGTCATTTTAAAATGTCATGAAATGACAAAAAAGCCGACAAATCACCCAATATTTGTATCAGGATGCTCAAGTGTCTTTTTAATGTGGGTAAATCCGGGGAGGTCCAGGATCATTCATTCTGGGGCTAAAAGCTTTTTCAACATTCTGTCCAGGGAACCATTTATGACCATTTATATATCTGTCAACCGCATTCAAATGCACTTGGAACTGGTGACAGACATGTGTGGTCAAGGCAAAGTTTAGATGTGATGGAAAATAGCCCCTGGTTTTCAGTGTAAGCATCAATCACCTGTGTACTGTAAATGTTACACTCATAAAGCTGTTAGTTGTTTTCACATAGCCATAAATCTACGTATGTGCAGTATAAAAATCAATGCATCTTACTGATGTTAGAAAACATACAACTCTATGATGGATATGCTGGTTGCAATTTAGTTATAGTTTTTCATTCGGTAGTTGCATACAAACACATCATAACTTTATGAGAAATGCATTGTGATTTGTCTGAATGTGACCTAAGGAATGCGTAAACATTAACAATATGTTATATTTATGATATGAAATTGCCCAGAACTATTGGCAAATGTGTCC